TATTTTTTAAAATCATCATACTATATGATTTATAGTATCAAAAATATTACCAAAGGCACTTCAGAATTTCTGGAAAAAGAACCTTATGAAAATACTTATTATTAATGCTTATTCTGGGTTTTAGGGTTCCAAAACTCTGAAAAAAACACCATATAAGACTGAACTAGATCTGGTTGGACTGAAAACCCAGGAAAAAGACATTTCTTTTTTTATTGTTTCAGAGTACCAGCTAATCTCTGCAGATCTGGTCAGCAGGAGTCTTTGGGTCTTCACTCAAGAAATTATTGTGGACTAAACACACAAGTAGGTCATGCTATTCCAGCTGAAGCTGCACCAAAAGAGTTACGATGCACATTTTGCAGTCACATCTTCCTTTCCAGACACCCAACAGAGTGTTTTCACAACAGTCCGACACTGCTGATGCACGATCAGTTCATAAACAATCACAGCCCTCAAACTGTCTTCTGCAGAGCTGCTCCCCAGCCACGTATCCTTCGTGAAACATTGCGGCTGCTTACTCCCACCTGAGAACTTTGCAATTTTCTGTACTGAACGGCATCTTTTTTGAAAATGTAAGCGATTCAGAATAGACACCTTCAAATTCATGCCCTTTGATGCATGTTCTTCATCTTTCTATCAGGTTCAGCTTCGTCTCTTTACCAGCAGTACTAGTCACCCGGCTAATGAAGGCAGAAGTGTCCTACTGAAGACCGATGTGAAAAAGGCACCTCAGATTCCCTGACCTCTCCAACTAACAGATTTCCTCGTCTGTCGTTTATCTAGCAGTAATACAGTCCAAATCCCAAACTAAGATATATTTTTTAAAATTAAGACTAATTTTCAATTTTCATAAAATTAACACACAAGACTTGCAAAAGTTAAAAAAAAAGATTAAAAGAAAAAATATGTAAGAGACCTCTCTCTCTTAAAAGATCCCTCTTCTACGCTTAGTTTATAGGAGACAACACAGTCTGTAACAGTATTTTATATATCCCAGAATTTTTTAGTCCATTTAAAACACTTTGTTGCTTAAAACCCCCAGCAAATGGTTAAAAAGGCTCAGAAGTAGTTTTCTAGAGCTAGAGCCAGAAATATGACTTTAGATTACAGGAACATAAATGCTCCTTATGATTGCCCTATTGTTTACTGAAATCCCCCAAATGTCTTCATTTTTGTCCTTCATTTCCATCTTTTGTCTTTGCTTCACCTTCAGACAACCTTTAGCCTCTTAATTTCACCTTTCTTTGATTTGGATTCCAACTATGCTGAATAAGCGGAGTAAATATCTCCTCCACTCTTCATGCCTTTTATTCTTTTGGCTCACATCCAGGCATACCTCCATAGTTGCACTATACAAACCTCCTACAAACAGATTTACACAAGCACATCTTTAAAAGTCTGCCTTCCATTTCACCTACTGCTGCAATTTCTTACTGGTATGAGTTACATCTTGTTTCTGTTCTCTCCTATGAGGACAGCCTGAGAGAGTTGGGGGTGTTTGGCCTGGAGAAGAGAAGGCTCCAGGCAGAGCTCAGAGCAGCCTTCCAGTACCTAAAGGGGCTGACAAGAAAGGTGGGGAGGGACTTTTGACAGGGGCAGGGAGCGATGGGACAAGGGGTGATGGCTTTAAACTGGAAGAGGGGAGATTTAGATGAGATATGAGGAAGAAATTCTTCCCAGTGAGGGTGGTGAGGCAGTGGCAGAGGTTGCCCAGAGAAGCTGTGGCTGCCCCATCCCTGGAAGTGTTCAAGGCCAGGTTGGATGGGGCTGTGAGCAACCTGGTCTGGTGGAAGGTGTCCCTGCCCATGGCAGGGGGGTTGGAATGAGATGGGCTTTAAGGTCCCTTCCAACCCAAATCATTCAATGATTTGATGATTCTGTACAGAACAGCCAAATTTGCTGCCACTAAAATTCCTTCTACAGACTTCTGGACCAATTGTTTTTATGTTTCAATGTTTTCATTAGATAAGATATTAAAATCTAGTCTCTTTCAAGGTTCCCAACTATCATTATTTTCTTTCATACATTCTTTCCTTTGTTCTGTAAAAACAGTGTTTCCCAGTATCTTCTACTGTTTCCAGTAATTTTCTACTTCCAGTTCTGTGCTTTGTTTAGTGTTGTTTCTGTATGCGCAATTCCCTCTCCTCCTCCTACACGAAGAGTACAGAAGGAAACAGTTCCAAAGCCATTACTTGGTCCTGATGGCAGATAACTTGAATTCTTGATCTCCAAAGCAAGGTGTCTGCACCCAGGTTATCTAGCAGGCATGGTTTCCTCGTCTGTGTCTGCTCCTAAACCTGACTTTAGGAGCTGTTTGGGAGAGTGCTGTTTGGTCCATGCTAAAGCTAGGGATCGTCCTGACAGTCCTGCAGTTCAGATCACGCAACAACCTGCACCATCTCATTTACCACAAGAGTGGTAGTCTGAGTATCCTCCTTCTCCGTTTATATAACTTCCCACTCCTCCAATTCACATTATATCTTAAAATCAACTTATTCTGTGCAGCCTAGTAACAATCAAATGCCTCAAAAGTTAACAGTAAAAGAAAACGGGATGACAGATGCACAGATCCTAGTAGCAGGAAGGGGCACAGTCCGTCTAACCTGACTCGCTGCAAACACTGGTCAGAGACTTCGGAAGGAAACATCTACATTAGAGTTAAAGCTACTATTTAGAAACACCTTTGTATTAAAAAAATGCAGACTGGATTTATATATGCTTAAAGGGATAATAATCTACTGTAGTTCACATTAAACATTCCAGAAGTTTATTACCCACATAGTTAAAAAAAGGATTAATATTAAAGTCTGAACTTTCCTATCTTCACCTTCCAACTACTGCATGGTATTAAGCCCCAATTTTCTAAGTTAAACAGTAATACTATAATGACTCTTCCTCATGAAGATAATTACTAATTATAATCCAATCATCATTTGAATTTCTCTTTGACTAAGTAAAAGGTTGGGCTTAATCTTTTGCCATAAAATAGGTTTTTATATCTAAAATTGTCTATTATTTCTTGAGATGTGATTATCATCTAACTGAATGTTATTTCTGATATAATTTCTTTAAGGTTTTTTAGTTAAGAGTTTTCAATGCCTGTATTTACAGTTGTCAGGACAATGACAAAACTGAATTTTTATCTTAAAGAAATACTGTCTTTAAAGATGCCACTCGGATAAAGTTCCTTTCCAAGCAGAGCATTCACAATAACTGCTTTACCCTTCTGGGGAGGCAAGGTATTGCAATCTTTAAGTCTTTTAAACTAGAAGAGAGGAAAATGAGAAAAATAGGATTGATGTGAATAAGGGACGAAAATACCCACGTTAACGCCTCGAGAAGGCCAGTGCTGTCTTGTGCACTTTAAACAGCACTGAATACAATGAGATCATCAATAAATTAACAACATTACTTGTAATAAAAACAGTACAGTTTACCTATTTACACACTTTTGCTATTAGAAAACCTTTAGAAGTCCTATTGTGCAGTTCTACCACAAAAACTTTAACTTTCAGATTAAATTAGTACAGAGGTGGTTGTTTCAGCATGACAAACAAAGGTGAGTTACCCAAGAGGAATGCTCCTTCATCTGATGCTGGTTGCTATGAGGACCATTTGCATGGCCACGCCAAAAACAGTTTTGACAGAGCTGGTAGTTGTGGCACTGCTGGCATCGGTACCGGAAACCCATCATGCTCTCACACCGGCAATACGAACATTCCACGGGATGGAAGACTTGGTGGAGATGGGGAAAGGGTTGGGGGGGGAGAAAAAAGAAAAGTAGTAAGCAAAGTTTAAGAAAACCTTGACCATCACATTTCATTGGAGCTTCCAAAAAACCCCAGGTTCTTAACCACTAAACCAACTCGTTATTCTGGGCAGGTCATGGATTTTGAGTGCAGAGCAGGTCATTTTGGTAAGATGAACCATAACTCTATATGATGATAATGTATCAGTTCCATCTGACAAGTTCAATATTTCTTCTTCAGATTTCTCCCTCCCCAGATACACTCAGACCCCAAAGTCTCTGTGGAAATCCAACAACACTGAGAATACATACAAATGGACAGGGAAAGCAGAAAGGCTATATTCACAGAGGTTAACTTCTGCCTAAGGAGATCGCTTTGCCCTAGAGTTGGCTGAGAGCGCTGTTCACAGAAGAGGCATATTCGGAGCACCACGATGGGCTTCCGCTCTGAATCACCTCTCACCGAGGAGCTTCCCTCGCTCTTCCCCGACTGTGAGATGCCTCTTGTACCTCTATAGCTTAAACTGAAGAAATCCCCAACATATCTCTAAATCTTAACATCTCAAGAATGGGAAAGTTACATAAGGTACGACATGCAGAGTCACCATCGAAAGCAGGCTAAATAAATGCTTTTTCCCTGTTCTTCTACCCATGAACAATCACAGACTTGCTCCATTTAAGTCTTCAGAATAAACAAGAGGAACGTAAGAATGAGGTAGAGGAGGTAACTTACTATGTCAAATGCATCTGAAAAGGTGAGGCACAGGAATTAGAATGGAAGGACGAAGGTGAATTACAGGTGCACATGGTTTAGCATTGCCGTGGGTCTACAGCACAGGTAATTACAGACAGGTAGAAATAACTGTGCCATGGAGAAGACCACAGGAAAAAAAAGCAGCTCGCTGGCCAGTCAGCTGAAGTTCTTCAATATGTCTGTTACGAACTACTGAAAGATGATGCAAAAGCAATAATTGGAAAGAGTCTGAAGTTTTGATCTATGACAAAAATTATAACTTGGCTGTTCTAACTGAGACTTGGTGCAATACTGCAACAAAGTTAACATAGAGAAATACAGCTGCTGCTAGAAGGTTTGGCCAGTTCAAGAGCGCAGAAGTGCCTGCTACCTCAAGAGTGATGCATACACCGCAACTGTTGAAAACACATGGGTAACAATTAAAGCAAAGACAACTTGAGCATTGACCTGGTCAGGAACGCAATGGATAATTAAGTCAAGATGATCAGGTGGATGACACTTTATTGCAGCACACAGCCACACTATATAAAGCAAAGGACTTGATTGTGGTAAGTAATTTCAATATACGAATGCCCAGTGGGAACAGACTGTAGAGGACTTGGTGACTTAACTTTTTTAATAGAAAAGGTAGAGAAAGCAACGAAAAGAAAGACTTCTAGATTTGTATCAAACAGTAGAAAAAAGTGGATTGAAAAAGAAGATGACAAGCGACCTTAAGTTAACATGCTAACAGAGTAATTCTGTGAATTTTTAGGAAGCAGAGGAGAGAACATGACTTCAATGCAGCACATTTCAGTAAACTCATGAGAATTAGTATGTAAGCTTCAAGAAGAAACATTTAAATAGGAAAATTGTCAGTTCCCTAAAAAAGTTATGCTAAAGAAACAAGCATAAACTATCTCAGTGCAGAGAAAAGAGCAGATTGCAGTAAAAGACCAACATGGCTAAAATTTAAGAGCTCCTCAGTAACCTAAAATTCAAAGGAAGTCTACAGAAGTGAAAACTGGGACAAATTATTAATGAAGGTTAAAATATTCAAAGACAAAGTTACAAAAACAGAATGAAAGAAAACTAGCAGGGGATTTAAAAGGGACATTACAAGAATTGTAATTATGATCCTTAGAAGGGTGTGAAATTATACATACATAACTACTGACTTCTCATGTTATTTTAACTTGTAGAATATATACTGGAACAAATAATAAAGCGAAGTACTGCAAGCACCTGAAGAACAACAGAGAAATGAGCCACGCCAAATCAACCTAATGTTTTTCCATGACAGAGTAATTGACCTTGAAAATAGGAAACAGGCATCAAATGGCATCAATTCTTCATTTTACTTTCAGTAATTCGTACAAAATTGGTCTCCGTGATATTCTCATGACAGAGGGAAATACGCAGTAGATGAAAGGACTGTAACTTTAGTGTGAATCTCATTGGAAAAACACCGGGGAGCAGTTAGTTGTCAAAATGGAAAGACCTAATGAGCAAAGGGCTTTATTCCAGGCCATGCACTGGTCAATATTTTTCATAAACATATCAAACAATTATCAAAAATGTCCAATTTGGGGCATCAAATTTCATGGAAGATGTGGGATAATTATATGTACAGGAGAAAGCAATAGAATTGTCTGAACAATATCTAGTAGACATCTTAGCTAGGAGCAGACTGTCAGAAGGTATCATCAAATATGCAAGAGGTACTTACAAAAATAGCAATACATTCTCCAGAGCCAGGGGCCAAAAAACAGGTACTTAAAGGTTTAAACTGCAATAAGAAAAAACTCATGCTAGAACATTAGGAAAAAACTTTCTCAACCTGAGGATAAACACTGATATCACCCCAGCTTCAAGTCCAAAGAGGGGCTGAAACATTTTGATAGGATTTTAAGAAGCAGTAAGGCAAATCTTTCAAGAATGTTTACATACATTCAGTTTTGCCTTTGGAAAGAGAGATAGGTGAAGTCACAGGTTCCCAAAGCTTTCTTTTTGCCCACCTCCCCGCACTATCCTTTCTGCCTGCAGCAGGGCTGCCGTCTCCCGCTAAGCCAGAGCACTGGGGCTCTGCCTTAATGAAAGGCAATATACTGGTACCCGCTGACCGCAGCATGTTCTGCCTACCTCTGCGTGCCTCTTGATCTTGTCTCTTCTTCCACCCCTTTTCAAAAATGTCTGTTACCTTCTCTGACTCTGTGCATTAAGAAGAGATTACTATCGATGGAAAGGGGACAAAAGTATTACAGTGTCCTGAACCAAAGAATCAAAAACTTGAAACTGATATGCTTGATTTAGGAAAGCAATAACAACATTCAGATAAAACACCAGGCAAAATAATAATGGTGACTACGTACTGCAAAAAGCATGCTCTCAAAATGATTGGTAAAGCGAAGATTGGAACAATCAGTATCAGAGATTATTAGATCATGGGCAAGGTTTCTGGCCATCAAGACAGAAGCCAGTGCACTTTTTGGTTTGTCCGTGGGGTTTTGTTGTGGTTTGCGGTGGTTTTGTTTTGTTTTTTCTTTTCCTGAAAGTGACAAAGTTTAGTGATGGAGAGGAAACAAATAAACGAAGTGGAACAGCATGCTTCCTCCCAGTACCAACCTGCTGACTTCCCCTTCTGGGCTTACTGGCTAGTGGTATGTTAAGACCAAATGTAGATAATCACTCTTTTCCCATTTTTTTTTGTTCATTTCTGAATGCCATAAAATACAGTGTTGCAAACCTCATTTCTCTTCTCTCCTGTTCAGATCGCTTTCACAGAATCTTAGAATCGTTATGGTTGGAAGAGACCTCAAAGATCATCAAGTCCAACTGTCTACCCAATGCCACCATGCCCACTAAACCATGTCTTGAAGTGCCACGTCTAAACGTTTTTTGAACACCTCCAGGGATGGTGACTCCACCACCTCCCTGGGCAGCCTGTTCCAATGGTGGACGATTCTAACAGTGAAGAAGTTCTTTCTAATGTCCAGCCTGAACCTCCCCTGGTGCAACTTGAGACCGTTTCCTCTTGTCCTCTCACTAGTTACCGGAGAGAAGAGCCCAACCTCCACCTCGTTACACCCTCCTTTCAGGTAGTTGTAGAGGGCAACCAGGTCTCCCCTCAGCCTCCTCTTCTCCAGACTAAACACCCCAGCTCCCTCAGCTGCTCCTCATAACATTTGTTCTCCAGACCCTTCATCACCTTCGTTGCCCTCTCCAGACCCTTCATCACCTTCGCTGCCCTCCTCTGGACTTGCTCCAGCAGCTCAATGTCCTTCTTTTGGTGAGGGGCACAGAACTCAACACAGCACTCAAGGTGCAGCCTCACCAGCGCAGAGTACAAACGGACGATCACTGCCCTGGTCCTGCTGGCCACACTATTTTTGATACAGACCAGGATGCTGTTGGCCTTCTTGGCCACCTGGGCACACAGCTGGCTCATGTTCAGCTGTTGACCAACACCCCAAGATCCTTCTCTGCCGGGCAGCTTTCCAGCCACTCGTCCCCAAGCCTGTAGCATTGCATGGGGCTGTTGTGATCCAAGTGCAGGACCCGGCGCTTGGCCTTGTTGAACCTCTATACAGTTGGCCTTGGCTAACCACTTCCTCCTGGATAATGGGGGGATAATTTCCATGCTCCCATCTGCATAAATCCAACTAGACTGAAGTTGCTGTGAAGCAGTTAATTGAAAGTGTTTTTACATCACTGATGTGCTCAACTCCAAGTCACAAGCCACCATGACCCTTCCTGCTATGGACTGCAAGAGTCCACCTCATGTCCCAGTCTATTTTTCCTCTCTCCTTCCTACTCTTCCTTTCCTGTCCCTGAAATACTTGTTCTAATCAAAACACTCATGCTTCATTTTCTCTTTCTCAGTGATCTCAATGTTTTTTGTTGTTGACACCACCTCTTTTGAAGGTGTCCCTTTACCCAAGCTCCCTGCCACATATGGGAGTGGGAGTTTTAAGTTTCTCTCCACTTTTCACTGCTTCCAAGTCTTCAGCCATCCCCTTTTCTGGCTGCCAGTACTCCAGATTGAAACTTCCTACAGGTCTTTCTTGAAAGAGAGAACTGGCTCCTTCCTCCCTTCCCCCTGTCAGCAGACCAGTTCCCTATGGAAAGGGCAGGAGAAGGAAGCAGCTACAGAGACTGGACCAGGAATCCAACTCTCCCGCCTGGCTTTTCCTCCTTTTTCTGACTCCTGGTCACGTATCACTATTCAGCAAGTTTGTGCTGTCCTTTTTTTTT